TAGTAATGGGTAATTTCCGGGAATGACGACATAGAGCGTTGATTGATTCTGTACTATTAGACGTCATGAAACCATATCTTGCTCCAAGTTGATGTACTCTTGACCATCTTTCAAACCTGACATATTCTAGTGTTTGAGCACACTGAGGCAAAACACGTCTTAAACAATTTATATGTTTATTAAAATCCATTTCCCGATAAGCTTTTACAGCCTTCCAGTATGTCTATTTGTTATTTTTTATACCAGCAGACCTTGATTTTAGATTTCTATATAAATGAACACCACAAAGTCCATGAAAAGCATCTGGGAAACACCTTCTAACAGCGTTGTCAATTGAGTTTTCCCTATCGGATATGATTGTCAGATTGCTAATAGGACCTATGCAATCCCTAAGATACCCCATAAACCATGTCCATGAATCAGAGGTTTCAGATTTGCCAACCCCGTAAGCTATTGGCAGTATCCCATTGTTAGCATCCATTGCTACTGCTAATAAGTTTACTCCAAGGTATCGACCTTTTAAATGTGCTCCGTCAACTATAATAACTGGGCACATGCAAGTAATAAACGAACGAATCTACAAAATCATATACACAAAAAATACAATCATTTAAATGTGAAATGCATGTAACTAACAAAATTGAGTCAACAAAATTATATTATTTACTAACCGTAGCACCAATGGCGATAAACATCAACTCAAAGCGTCCATCTCTATCTGTTTTGATATAAGTTACCGACCCAGGATTTTTCAGCTTTAAATTGTGACAATAAGTCGGCAGTTGGGCAAACGATGCTTCTAGCGACCCCCTCAACAATTCCAAGACATAACATTTGGCTCTCCAAGCTTGAGAATATGAGATACTAATCTTGAACTGAGCATTCATGTCAGTCATAATTTCATGTCCTCGATATACCCTGCCATTCAAAAACATTAACTCAGCCAGAAAACCACCAACACCTTTTTGTTTGCCTGTCTATGGTGAGGAAAAACTTAGGTTCTTGAACATGTATATTTATCAATAAAAGTACTAACTTGAAACATTTCGCAATCTTTTATCCTCTTTGCAATCATACGCCACGTACAGTTTTTGTCAAACATACACCTTGTTTCGAAACGATCTTTGCTTGATTTGTTAACTTTTAGTTGATAGCCATCTTCCACACATTTCGTATACAAAGCTATCTTCAAGTCTTCCTTTGTATCAAAACAATCATCTTTCTTGATACGAATAATTTTTGTGTAACAATCAACTGCTATTTTTACCAACTCTTCCTCCGGTATCTGAAGTAATTCTGGCATATTCCAGTTATACTCCCGTGACATTTTCTTCGGGGACTATTCTTCGGGGATTTCTTCTTCTTCTTTTTCTTCTTCAGGGTTATATGAATTACATAATGGATGTTCAACATGTTCATTCACAGTCGTAACTTCCTCCTCATTATCATCAACAACATCTTCCTCGGCATCGACTGTTTCATCATCAAAATTCGGGTATTGACCAATATCAAAATCATTACACGCAGGGTCTGTTTCTTCTTCTGAAACATCATCAAAATCCGAGTATTGACCAAGATCAAAGTCCGGGTATTGACCAAGATCAAATTTTGAATACCGACTAGTACTCACAATTTTTTCTGTTGGCTCATCATCGTCTAAATGGTTAATACGAAAACCGGAATTTGGTGCTGAAAGTTGATTGGATTTGGATTAGGGAAAGGTTGTGGGTTTTGAGATTGTGTTTGGTATTGGAAATGTGGTGAAACAAAATTTGCTTGGTGATGAAATTGTGGTGGAACCATTAAATTTTGAGCACTATAAATTGGGGTTGAAAAACTTAGTTGATTACTACCCGCTACTGACCCAACTTCACTACTTCTAGGTTCAACAACATACAATGTAACATCATCTTGCGAAACACTAATGTAAGCAATGAATCGTTCAACATCTTCATTGTCGGTTAACAAATAAACTTTACTTTTTCTCTGATAAGATATCCTAAATCCACTTAAGGGCTCTAAATTCAATTTATTTGCAACACGTAACATTAGAGTTTCATAAGTTAACTTTTTTAATGACAGTTTTAGTTGAAGATTTATGGGTAAAGGCATATATTGTAAAACACCATGAACATTCTCTCATGACCCTCCAAAACACAAATCTATCCAAACATGATCAACATTAGATGATTTCATTATTATAAATTAATTTACTAAACAAACGAGCTGCGAAACTAAAACATGTTGCCGGATGGGGAAGGATGTCGTTGGATATAGGAACGGATGTCGCCGGAGAGAGTGATAGATGAAGATGAAATGAGTTGCGATTTAGGGATTTAGGTTATGAGTTGCTTCTGCTGCGTAGTTATATACCCAAAACATTTATGTTGCGAAACTAAAACCTGTTGCGAATTTGAAATTCAGTGTTGCGACAGTCAGAATCGCGTTGCGATAGTCAGAATCTCGTTGCGATAGTCAGAATCGCGTTGCGATAGTCATAATCGCATTGCGATTTACATATTCGTATTGTGATTTACATAATCGCATTGCGATTTACATATTCGCATTGCGACATATTCGCATTGCGATAGTTGAAAAATCGCAACGCGAATTTAAAAAATCGCAATGCGATAGTCAGAATCGCGTTGTGAATCTAGAAACTGATTTGCGATACCGGAGATCGCGTTGCGAATTATCGATCGCATTGCGATTTAGTTGGTCATTTTGGCAAATCCAAAAAAAGTTGGTTAAAATCGTATATTATAAGACATTTTTTGTCACTGAGGTTATTTTCTCTTTTTTTAATGTTGTTACCAAATAGACTAATTTCCGTGACAACACTATTATCTAATGACAACTTCAAAAAAAAACTTCAATGGTCAATTTAGAAATAAAGGTATAGTTTATGAGGTAATTGAAGAATAAAACATTTTTTTTATTTTGTGTTATGATTATCTAAGATTACACGTTGAAATTATAGATTTTGGTATAAGATAATTGTGTTTGGCTCGTCATAGTATACATGTTATAATTCTTCATTAGGGTCATGGTATAATATATGGTGTAATCTTATACCATCCTATTCTTCAAGTAATCTAAGATTTAGAGTGTAATCTTAAATTTTGGAGTATTTTATCTTTCATTTTTATTTGTTTATTTATTTTCAAATATTTTTAAAATTTAATAAGATACAAATTAACTAAAAAAATTAAATTACATCCTCTCATTCAAATAATGTAGGTTTACATTCTAGTTTAATGAATTAAATAAAATAATGTGATATTCTCTATAATCCTATTTTATAATCTTACATTCCATTATCTTATTTTTCATAGGCAATTTTACACTTATTTGAGAATAATTTTTTAATTAAATATCTATAAATATATTTTATAAAATTAATATTAAAATATTGTAAAAATTGAATTTTATAATACTTATTTATGATAAATAAAAAAAATTATTTAATTTTTTCATAATGGAATTATTACCATTCTTTGAAATAATGACCTTAATAACATTATTTTTAATAATGTATTTTATAAGTTACAAATTGAGATTATGTATGTGTGTATATATATATATAGTTTATAATATTTTAAAAAATATTTAAATTACTATAAATTATGATGTACTATTAATTATGTATTATTCGTATTATTTAAAGATTTAAATATTAAAATTTGATTATTTATATTAGGCTTAATACACTTTTAGGTGTCTAAATTATATCTCAAATTGATTTTTGGTGCTTAAAGAATTTTTAGCTAAAAAACGGTGTCTAACGTTTCTAGCGTTATATTTTTAGGAGTCTGGACCTTAATGATTGGTAAATTTAACCGTTATCTGACATGTGTCACACATATAAAATTTTAAAATGAAAATATTAAAAAAATAATATTAATTTAAATAAAAATAAAAACCCCTAAAATTCCATCTTCGATTAGCCATAGTCGGTTTGTGTTGTCATTGTTGAAACCATCAGAACTGTCTTATCGTCACAACCAAAATCTAGTCTCATCTATTGTGAAACTCCATCAATCGTCGTGAAAAGCGCCGCGAATGATAGTTAGTTTTCTAAGTTTTCCTTCGTTGTTTTCCAACGATTCTAACAGCTACAACTGACCGTATGTTACACAATCGCCACTATTGAGTTCCTCACTATGCTCCCAACAAAATACATCCAATTGTGACCTTTCATTGTCGTCGGAAGTAGGAGATGGTAGAGAGAGGGACAACATGATGTTTTGATTTTTTTAAAATAATACTTTTATTATTAAAAATAAAAAAAATAAAAAATGTAACTGTTAGGGTTTGATTTTAAAGTGTAATAAAGAAAATGTTATGCACATATTTTTAACGAAAAATTCTTTAAACGTTAAAGTCAATTTGAAATATAGTTTAGACACTTAAAAGTGTATTAAATCTTGATATCATTTTAATATTTTTAAATATAACCATAATATTTTATTTATTAATCAACTAACCTAGATAGAATAATGTAAAGACAAAGACTATCATTCTAATTGATTATTGGTAACAATATTTTAAAATTGGCTTAAGGGTCATCTTTGTCCATTAGTAGACTTAATTTATCATTTTCGCCCCTATCGTATTTTCGCATCAATTTAACCCTCAGTGTTGTCTAATTGCATCATTCTATATCACAACCCTAACTTAAAACCCTAAATCATAATTCTTAAATTAAAATTTAAGATTTAAGGTTTATAATTTAAAGATCATAAGATTATAATTTAGAGTTTAAGATAGATAAATTAGAGTTTTAAGTCAAAGGTATGTATAAATGATATAATTGATCAACTTCAAAATTAAATTAATGTAAAAATATAATAAATACAAAAGTGATAAATTATGTTTATTAGAGGGATAAAAATTTACCCTTTTACCTTTAATATTTAAATACCATGATTTGATTATTCTTATTGTAAATTCACAAATGAATGCGTGTCACAATCTCTTTAAACAAACCTCGGTTTTGAAACACAAAATTTATTACAACAAAGCTCCACTCTCTCTCAAAGCTCAGTGTTCTCTTCTCCTTTTCCTGCTCTTCGCCTTTCCCAACAAGTAATTGCCCCCTTTATTACTCTTGCTCTTTGTTTTCTCTTTATATTCAAGGGAGAACCGTAGATCTATTTGTCTTTGTTTCCTTTCTATTTTCGTGTTGGCTCTTTTATTTAAATTGTTGTTGTTGTTGCTTTCTTTTTAGCATAACTAAAAGTTTCTTAAAAAAATGAAATGGTCATCTCTTGGTTTTAAAGAAAAATGGATTTTCCCCCTCAGAAGCTTGATTTTTGTGTTATTTTTTTTTCACATAGGACATTGGTTTTATGCATGAACAAGTCGAGGATTGACAAAAGTGAAATGGGTAATTGCTGGTTCGGAGAAGAAAAAAAAAGAGAGGACAATTTTTGGTTAAAAAGCCTGATTTCTGTTTAATCTTGGTTTACATAGGAAAGAAAATGTACTTTCGATTGGTTTTTTGAGAGGGGATTTGGTATATTAGGTTTTTGGCTATGTTAGTTTATCAATTCCAGGTTCAGGCTGGGTTATCAATGTCGGGTTTGGGTTTGAAGAACTATGAATGAGAGGGGAGTTTAGGGTCTGCCGGTCTGCCCTGTGCACGTATGCATTTATTCTTGAAATAAATGTATCTGATAATTTCATTTCTCTACGAGAAGTATAGAGATTCTTATTTATGTTCCATGTATCTTGTTGCGTATATGAGAAAAGATGTTTTCGAATAATTTGGACTGATAAGAGTTGATATGAATGATCAGGTTTAATTCCAGGCTCTAATTTTTGGATCTCACTGGTAACTTCAGAGGTGCCGTGTGCGGTCGTTGGGGTGGGTTTCAGGTGGGCTTTTAGAATGATATAGTTTTCATGGAGTTTTTTGTTTCGAGATTCAGACAAAAGCGGGTTCAGCAAAGGTGGTTACATGGGAATTCATACAATGGGGTCTCAAGGCGATGGTGGTAGTAATGGCAAACAGTTACAATGTCAGCAGTTAACACGGCAAAGTTCAATGTATAGTCTCACGCTGGATGAGGTTCAAAATCAGTTGGCTGACTTGGGAAAACCACTCAACAGCATGAACCTGGATGAGTTTCTCAAGAGTGTATGGACTTTGGAGGGTAACCAGACTTTTGGTACGGACACTGAAGGAACAGCAGTGACCAATCAAACTTCTCTGCAGCGTCAGGCAAGTTTGTCGTTATCGAGTGCTTTGAGCAAGAAGACGGTTGATGAGGTTTGGAAAGATATTCAACAAAGTAAAATTGACGGGGAAAAGAAATCAAGAGAAAGGCAGCCTACCCTTGGAGAAATGACATTGGAGGATTTTCTCATAGAGGCTGGAGTTGTTACTGAAGCATCTACTGATGAAAATGTCGGTGCTCCTATTGCTGAGGTCGATCCAAGTGTTGCACCACAGTTTGCACAACACAGTCAGTGGATGCAGTACCCACAACCCCCCCAATATCATCATCCACAACAAAGTATAATGGGGATTTATATGCCGGCCCAGCCTATGCCACAGCCATTAGCCTTAGTGACTCCTGGTGTAATGGATGTCCCTTACCCGGAGAACCAGGTGTCATTGCCTTCGCCTTTGATGGGAACATTATCAGATACTCAGACATCTGGAAGGAAAAGAGGTTCCCCTGAAGACATAGTTGAAAAAACTGTTGAAAGGAGACAGAAGAGGATGATAAGGAACAGGGAATCTGCTGCACGTTCACGAGCAAGGAAGCAGGTCGACTTTCATTTATTTTCTCTCTTAAACTTGCATGACAATCATACTGCTTTTTTTTATATTTGAAATGTCTTTATATCGTGTTCTGAATTATCGAGTGAACCTGAAAGATATTTAAACAGGCTTATACTAATGAATTGGAGAACAAAGTTTCACGATTAGAAGAGGAAAACGAAAGGCTGAGGAAGCAGAAGGTTAGATCTGTCGTATCTGACTCATTTACACTCAATCCATGAACTTCAAACATTTCATTTTTTCCAACCTGTTCTTTGACAGAACTAGTATTTTTTGTGTTTGCATTTCAAATATATATTTACTTATGCCTTTACATTGATAACCTGTATCCATAGTTAGTTTGCAGCTGTTCCTCTACAAGTAGATCATAATGTTGTGTTGTTCCAGTTTACATCACGATATTATAAATTTAGTTTGATGCATTCTTCAGTTTTGCACGGCGAGTGGTTTTATGATCAGTCTAAAGTTGCGAGGTTTTGACCGTCTGGCCTTGATCCTGCATTTTACTCAACCCTGTAGGTTTTCTGACAATGTTTGAAGGTACTGCCCATTTCAGAACCGTCAATTGTATGATTCATATCCTCTAACATGCTCAGCAAAACTGGCCGTGAACCTCCATGGACTCCGAATGACTTATCATCTTTTCGTCCATCTGTGCTTCTGCATGAATTTCATTTTCATTATTGGTTTCTGATCTTTATATTCTTAGGAGCTGGATAAGATGTTACCGTCTGCACCACCACTGGAGCCAAAATATCAGCTTCGTAGAACGTCATCAGGCCCGTTCTAACAATTTCCGTAACGGATACTGTGGAAGTTTTGCATATACAAACCAGCTTGTGTCTTCTGTTTCTAGTTTCAATCGAGACATAAGATAAAAAAAAGTGAGCACCACAATTTGCAATGCACTTTCTGGAAGCTGCCATTGATGGTTGCTTGGAACTTGTAAGAGTTATTTTTTCTTCCCCATGTATCTACCTAGTTTTTACTGTGAAATCAATTCAAACTATAAATCTTCATGCTACCTTTGCCGCGAATGTGTAGTTTTGAGTCTTTTCTTCTTCTTCTTCCTCTTCTTGATATGAGCATATCGCCATTTTAGCAAAGTTCATCGAACAGACAAACTCGTGCATGTATATGTATACATGTATGCATACAAGGATCATCATTTATACTGGAATTATTAAATTATTTTAACTGGAAGGGCTGAGTCATCATTCTTAAATGACATCTTTTACACGTGAACATATCAACACTCATTTTGACAAATGAGAATAACAGTACAAAAAATAGAAGATCTTCATTAAGAAAAAATAATAAATTAATTTTAGTCTTTTATTTTCACTCATCTTACGTACATTCATATTCGTACATTCATATTCATTGGTTTGAACAACTTTGGATATTGACTTCCGCCTCCATTTTAACCCGTATTTGATTTGTGACATGGCCTTATCAGTGTTGTTGAGGCTGCGTCCTCTTCTTTGGTACTTTCCATCCTCAAATGATTTACTCCATTAAAAAACTATATACCAATTATTGAAGTTTTAATTTATTTAGACATTTTCTTTAAAAAACAATCAAAAATTATTTTTATTAATCTTTATTACATCAAGACATAAACCAATAATAATTGGAAATAAAATATGTGTTAAGATATCAAATTTATGAGTAGCAACAACCTGGGCTGCGAATAATAATTATATTTGATTTTTTTACTTTAAATTGATTTTTTTGGAACAATGTTTTCCGATAGACTGTTGGGTACAAAGACAAGCAAGAACACTTTTAATAATAATTGAAACCAAAGCAGTGTCAGTCGAACGTGTACAAAGCAGTGACTGAGCACTCGTAAATAAGTACCAAAAAACAAAATTCCCAAAGTTCTTGCAACAGAGTCTCGATTTTCTCTCATAGTTTTAGACTGTTAATTTCCTCTTCTCTAGTTCGTTCTCTTCGCCTTTGCAGCAGGTAATAGCTCCTTTTCTTACTTATGAAACTGTAGTTTCTTCTTCTTCTTCTTCTTCTTCTTCTTCTTCTTCTTCCTCGTCCTTTTCGTGTTCATGAGAGAATCGTAGATCTATTTTTCTTTATTTTTTCCTCTGTGTTTCGGTAGATTTATTGTTTATATAATTATGTGTTATATTTTTTAGCATAACCAAGTAAAAGTTTGTGAGAAATGAGATGGGTATCTCTTGGTTCTAAAGAAAAAGGAGTTTTTGTTCTTAAAAGGCTTGATTTTTTGTGTAATTTTTGTTTCACTTAGGAAATTGATTTCTTCCATGTGCAACTTTGAGAAAATGAAACAAGTATTTTCTGGTTTTGGAGAAAAAGGGAAAATTTTTGCTACAAACCCTAATTGTGTTTAGTTTTGGCTCGAACAAGAGCTTGGGTTTGTCAGTGGAAGAGGGAAAACTGGAGTGATTTGAAGAGAAAGGGAGGAAATTGGTTGAAAAGCTTGATTTTTTTTGCATGAAAATGCCATGGATGGATCACCATGAAATGTGTATTTCCTGTTTTTGAAGAGAAATTGAAAAAAGACATGGTTAAAAATCTTTTTGTTTGTATTTTTAGTTCAAACAGGAGCTTGTTTCGTGTTTTGAAGAGGGAAAACTGGAGCGATTTGAAGAAAAAGGAGGGAAAACTCGGTTGAAAAGCTTGACTTTTGTTTGAAATGGACGGAGGGTTAGGTGGAAACACCGTTCCGACGAATAGCAGTGATGAATCTAGAGTTTTGGATGTAAAGCCACTACGGACATTGGCTCCGCTGTTCTCTCAGCCGCCTGAGGGTCCTCCTTTTGTTTGTTTACCTCCAAATGGCCCTTTCCCGTCGGAGTTTTCACCGTTTTTCCCTTTCAGTGGTCTGCAAGGATCCCAATCTACCCCTGACCTTAACCAAAATCATTTCAATTCAACCGCTGTTCCGCTTCGGTCATTCAGAGCCGAACCGCCAGCTTCTGGCAATGGCAAGCATAAACACAAGTCAGCAGGACCAAGCTCCGTGAAAAGGAAAGCAAAGAGGAGAAAAGAATCAGAATCTGTATTAACTTCTCTAATGAATTTCAATCCTGAAATTAGTTTATCAGAACGAGATGATGGTAACAGGGAATTGGTTGAAAGTGTGCTTTTGCAGTTCGATGCACTTAGGAGAAAGCTTAGCCAAATGGAAGATGCGAAGGAATTACATTCTGGCATCCTTAAGCGTTCGGACCTGAAAGCTGCCAACATGTTGTTGACCAAGGGGGGTGCGGACTAACATGAAAAAGAGAATCGGGGTTGTTCCTGGTGTTGAAATCGGGGACATTTTCTTCTTCAGGATGGAGTTGTCTTTAGTGGGGTTGCATTTTCCGTCCATGGCTGGAATCGACTACATGGCTGTCAAGGGTGGTGAATCAGAGGGTGAGCGGCTGGCTTTAAGCATTGTTGCATCCGGAGGGTATGATGACAATGCCGAAGATCCGGATGTTTTGGTATATAGTGGTCAAGGTGGGAGTGCGAGTAGAGATAAAGAAGCATCGGATCAGCAGCTTGTAAGGGGCAATCTTGCTTTGGAAAGGAGCTTCCACCGAGGCAATGAAGTACGAGTCATACGGGGTTTGAATATCAATCTAGTGTCGAAGGTTTATGTGTATGATGGGCTTTACAAGATCCAAGAGTCGTGGACGGAGAAAGGGAAGTCAGGTTGTAATATGTTCAAGTATAAACTGGTAAGGATCCCCGGACAGCCAGCTGCTTTTGCCACTTGGAAATCGATTCAGAAGTGGAAAGAGTCTTCGAGGGTAGGACTTATTCTTCCTGACCTCACATCAGGTGCAGAAAGCACACCTGTTTCGCTCGTAAATGAGGTTGATGACGAAAAGGGGCCTGCATACTTCACATACTCCCCAACTGTCGAGTATTCAAAATCATTCAAACTAGCGCAACCTTCATATGCTTGCAACTGCCACGATGCGTGTCAACCTGGAGATTCTAGCTGTTCCTGCATTAAAAAAAACGGAGGCGATTTCCCTTACACTACCAATGGGGTTCTAGCATGTCGAAAATCCATGATATATGAATGTAGTCCCTCGTGCCCATGCATTCGAAACTGCAAAAACCGGGTTATACAAACTGGTCTGAAAACTCGCTTAGAAGTTTTTAAGACAAGAGATCGGGGTTGGGGTCTACGGTCTTGGGACCCTATTCGAGCAGGTACATTTATTTGTGAATATGCAGGTGAAGTTATAGATGAAACCAATGCAAGGCAGGACGGTGAAAACAAGTATGTTTTTCATACAAACCGTCTCTACAGTTCCTTCAAGTGGAATTTCGAAACTGAGAGTACTGAAGATTTTGATATCCCGTCTCCGGTAATCATAAGTTCGAAGAACAGCGGGAATGTAGCTCGATTTATGAACCATAGTTGCTCTCCAAATGTTTTCTGGCAGCCAATCATGTATGAAAGCAATAATGAAGCGTTTCTACATATTGCATTTTTTGCAAAGAAACACATCCCTCCCATGACAGAGCTGACATTCGATTACGGTACTCCACGGTCAGACGGGACCGATGCCGAAAACAACCCTGAATTCGGAAAGAAGAAATGTTTATGCGGATCAGCGAAATGCCGAGATTATTTCTATTGAGCTTCTGGTTTCCAGACTTATTGGTCTCTTGAAGGAGGTACAGAATCAAGCTCATCTTTGTCTAAAATCATGCAACTCTGCAGGCATTTCATCTTTAATGTTTTTAGCTTGTTTTTATGCTGTGGATGCTGCCATTAATTGCAGAAGAACTGGAAAAATGTATGGAATACCATGTTCAATGGTGGTTTTGTAGAACGTAATCTACGGTTAAAGTTAATGGAAAATTACTATGTATCACTTATAGTATTAAATTGCGGTTGCGGTGTTCATTGCGGATGCGGTTAAGGTATCACGGTTGCGAACTTTGCGAACGTTACGTAATATATAACGGTTGTTGCGGACGTGATTTATTTCTAAAAAATCAAACTATTAAAAACATTATATTTATACATTTTATATTCATATTTAAATATTCTAATATTAATATACTCTTTTATATATTTTATTATAAAAATAAAAATCTAACTCTACATAAAATTTCATTAAAATTAATTACATACCATACAAATATTATTATACTATATAATAGATAATAAATATTATTATACTATATAATAGATAATAACAATTATAATCTTAATGAATAGCATATAAACAATCCAATATTTAAAAAAAATATATAAATATTCTCATATTTTAACACAAAAGTTCATTTTACATAATTTAAAAAAAAAAAGAAAAAACATATAAATACAAATACAATAACTCTATAGTTAGTACAATAAAACATGTTCTTGATGTAGATGGAACGAGGATATATAATAGTTATATTCATTTTCTTTTTGATAAAATATAAAATTTATAGAAAAATATTAACTATTGTTTAGTGGTATATACTTAAAATCAATTGTTGAATTAATATTTTGATATAACATTAAATTGTAAAATTGATTTTGGACTTAATATAATTTGTCAAAAATTTATCAAAAAATAATTCAAAGTCCAAATTAACTTGAAAAATATGTTTTAAATGTTTTCCGACTTAGTCGAACATTTTTGAAAACAAACTCGATCGTTTTCGTGCTTTAAAGTTAAGTTTCCACAGATTTTTGGCTCAAATGATCGATCCCCTTAAAAAAGGATCGATCCCTAGGATAATAGTGAGTTTGAGATCGATCCCTTTACAAAAATGATCGATCCCTATAGAAAGGATTGATCCCTTTGTTACAACAATCGAAAATTTTGAAAAAGAATTGATTTCTTTCAACAAAAGATCGATCACTTGTGCATTAAATGTTTTTAGTTATAGGTAACGGCTATAATGATCCCAACGGCTCCAAACGGCTAGAATTAATGAAGAATGTATAAATTGAAATTAAAAGCTTCCCAAGGTCATAAAGAATCATATTGAACCAATCTAGCAACATCAAAGCTTAGTTTTGTGCTAAATTTGTAAAATTATTTGTTGTAAACACACTAATGAGATACATTGTTTATTTTGCTCAAGTGTAATTTGGGTGAGAGCTTAATTAGTGCAAACTTATTTGCCTTTGTGAGGTTTTTCTTTAGTTTGCTAAATTTGTAATTACTCTTTGGGAGATAGTGTATTCAAGGTTTTGGGTATAAAACTTGAAGTGTTTGTAAGGTTACACATTGTCCTTAAAGGTAAGGAAATCTAGTAGATTTGAGAAATCCTTAGTGTGTATGCTAAGATAGTTGATGTAGACTTGGTTTAAAAGTCAAACCACTCTAAATCGTTGTGCAAAAAGTTCTATTTTTCGATTGCTTCCACGAAACTTTTTAAAAGGCAAATTCACCCCCTCTTGGCATCTTCGGTTGTTCGAACGAGCTCAACATCAATATTCAATTTATTATATATATATACACCATAAGTTAAATGTTTGTTAATATTTAACATCATTTTTTTGTTAAGTCAAAATATTCGAGCGTTTTATCTATTTAATTTTATATTTCGTGCAATTTAGAAGTTGGTTGCGGCACAATTTTTTGCTCATTGCGGTTTTACGTAACGATTTTAGACCGTGAAAGTTGTGATGTGATTTCCTTATCTCGTTGCGTTAATGTTGCATTACGGTGATCTCCAAAATCATTACGATGCGACCGTAATTTAATACTACTCTGACCTTAACCAGGGCATCGTATGCAACACTTCTCTTCACCCCTAACACTTTGATCAACTTTGGAACGTTTTTTTAAAGAAAACTTCAGAACGATTTGCAACGGGCTCTGGTTTTTTTGGGGGAGAAGTTTCAACACAACAATTTTCTTATCATCATTGTTCGGAGGTTCCTCATCATCATCATTACTTCTCGCTCGGAGGTCCACCTCATATTTCTTCTTCTGATAATGATGAGGTGGGAAATGAGCTCCTGGGCTGGGAATAAACTACATAGGAGTTGGTTTTGAAGCAAGATGAGGATATTTTAGAGCAGTTTAGATTGTGGCACGCGATGGAGCCGATTGGGAAGAAAGAAAATCAATGGGAAAAAACAGAGACACACTTTTTGATTTTTACACACTACAACAACAACAACAATAATACCCTATTCCCATATGCAATGAGGTAAGGAGGAGGTAGGGTAGTAGGCTACCTCCAAACGCCAGGTTTGAGAGCAGCTTCCGTGTAAGACCTCCAGCAGTCAGAAAATTAAAAATAAAGATAAAATGCAATGCATGTATAAATAAATAGAATAAATACATAGCTGAAACATGCATCATATGCAGTCCACGTATGCGCGTCTTTAATGGGAAGTAATCCTTGCAAATAAATCTCTGCGTGAAAATCTCTACATATAGATAGAAACGTAAGACCCGACTAAATTTTAAAAGATGAAACCTGAAGAGAATGATACACAATAATCAACGATAGCAAGCTACAAGAAGGAATTAAGTCAAATGGGTTAAAACCTAAACTAAGGCAACACTACTCCGCTACCCTAGTTCTAAGCCTTCAAAAAATCTAATGACAGAAACGCATATAAAGTAAAAGTCATTGGAAATTATTACAAAGGCATTAAAAGGAAGACAGAGATGTTACACCCTATGTTTGTGACCCTAGTCTTAAGTCTCCATACTTTCCTATCAGAGGTCATGTCCTCGGTAATGGCTAAATCCTTCAAATCATATCTCAAGCAGTCTTCCCACTTCCTCCTTGGTCGTCCTCTCCTTCTGGCACCGTCAACTGTAATCGACTCTACCCTCCTGACCGCATCCGACGGTTGTCGCCTAAGGACATGTCCAAACCACCGTAATCTTCCCTCCCTCATCTTTTCGGATATCGGCACCACCCCCAAGGACATCCTAATAGCAGAGTTTGGTGTCATGTCCCACAGAGTCCTACCACATGTCCATCGAAGCATTCTCATTTCTGCGGCCTCAATCCTCCTTTCGTGATCTTTCTTGATTGCCCAACATTCTGATCCGTACAGCAGCGCTGGTCTTATTGCCATTCTATAAAATTTTCCCTTAAGTTTTTTTAGGCACATTCTTGTCACACAAAACTCCAGTAGCAGCCATCCACTTTATCCATCCCGCCTTTATACGGTGTGTAACATCATCATCTACACCCCCATCTTTATGTATCATAGACCCGAGGTACTTGAAACAATCCTTTGAGGGGAGAACATGTCCTTCTATGCATACTTCCACATCTACATCGTTTTGGTTCCCACTGAAGTTTGAACATAAACACACTAGAAATAAGTAAATCATTCAACTGCAATTTAACAACAAAATCTTAGTGACTTGTTCTATTTAGTAAATTGTATTGACACCTTATATTGTCAAATTTTTACTATGATCAAGAGAGTATTAACATGTATTAACGACGATTGTATGACTATATCATTTTAACTAGAGTTTATTAATCTGTATTGAGTATATCATAATAACTCTTTTTATATCTCTAGATTTTCCTCCTCTTTATCTACATTTTTAGATGCACTACTTCAGTCTCAATTTTGATGGACTCTTTTTCTAGATCAGTTTTCTTTTTCTTCAACAGTGCACTTGTTCAGATGAATATAATAATGTAGGTGTTGAGCTCTTGAGTTTTTGGCTTCCACCTAATACAATACGAGCAATGGGAGCCCCAGAACAACATATGGAGCCTTGCGTGAGACTTCGACGGCCCCCAAAGAATTAAACAGTTCTTTTGGCTGGTTCTCTGTAATCGCCTCATGATTAATATGGAGCGCAGTAGACGGGGATTGTCAGCCGATGCCCGATTCCCAATACGTGGAATGGAAGAAAGTCTATTGTCTATGCAATCCGAGACTGCTCTCAAGCTCGTTCAGTGTCGAATTCGGAAGTGTTGGTTCCCAACCATTTCAAGACTGAATTCTTTAACTCTTCTCTCGCGACTTGGTTGAAAAATTAATCTTACTAAGTCTTCTAAATTTAATTGTTAAGAGCTTTACTGGAGTCACCTGTTCCGGATACTTGTATGGAGACTTTGGAAGCAAAGAATCAGCTTCATCTTCAGCGGGTAAGTCTGGACGGTGATGACTATTATCCATTCAGCTTCTAATAGGAGTCATAGGAACTTTTACAAAAGAACGATCCCTGCTGTTGCAGTCTTTCTTTGCACCGATGGAGCTGCGAACTCAACCACAATGGCAGCATCTGGCGGTGGAGTGCTCATGGACGATAATGGATAATGGATCGCGGGCTACACAAGGAACATTGGTCAATGCTAGGCTTACCATGCTGAATTATGAATTGGGCGCTAGTCGATGACCTTGACATCGCTTGGAAACAAGGTAATAGGCAGTTGGTGATTGAGATGGATAATCTTAAGGTAATCCGTCGTATTAATTCTCCGGTTCCGACGAACGGCTCCACCTTATTCAGACGAATCCAAGGCTATATCAATCGACAGTGACAACTCTCGTTCATCCAAATCCCGCGTGACTCCAACAAACTAGCTGCTGATGCTCTGGCACAAATCGGTCGAAGAATGAACTTTGTCCTTTCGATCTTGCTCCAACCTCCTACGGAAGTGCAGATCATCCATGCTAAGGACAAAGATACTATGAGAACAAGACCAGCTTTTGGTTAATTTTTCCTACTGCCTGTAACCAAAAATAAAATCAATTCATTAATTATTAAAAGTTCTGAGTTATTTAATTTTAATTTTATAACTTGAATAATTTTTTTAAATCAAATTAATTTTTTTATTAAATCGAGTTAAATTTTTTTTTGATATTTTTCGAAGAGTTTTGTTCATTCCTACTTGCATCCAAAGTTCAAGTAATGTAAGCATGGAAGAATAATGACTGATATTATTGTAAGAAAAAAGAAAGTATTAACAGTAGAATGGTCATTATAGAATCGGGTAAATCATATATTTAGTACCTAAATTATTATTTTTGTTTAATTACGGTATTTAAACTTTACTTTTTTTAAAAATAAATTTTAACATTTACTTTATGTTTCAATTTGATATCTCGTTAAAAATATAATGATGATGTTGACTTGTTATCATTAAACAATAAAAATATCAAGTCAACAGTTGTATTAATTTTTTAACGACATGTTACTAAATTGAAACATAAATTAAACGTCATGCAAGATTTTAAAAAATATAAAATTTAAATATCAAATGGAACAAAATTAATAGTACAGACACTAAACTTATAATTTATGCTATATAATTTTATAATATTTGATTCAAATTAATAGATTAAATATTATTAATCTAATTTAAAAAATAATGGAAAAAATAGATTATATCAAAAATAATTTATAATGGGTGTAATGATAAAGTCTCACCGGAGACGGAGGACCGGTTAAGATATGTTCAAAACGCTGTTTGCAAGTTCAATCACAGATTAATTTTTTTCTTAAACTTGAATTATTTTGCTTTACGTTTCATGTTAATTTCCAAATCTCTAGCGGCAAATTTTTAGAACGAAACTCAAGTCGTTGAATTGCGCGGAACGCGCTGTTAAATTTAAATTCCAATAGCGCCAGCTTCCAGAACTGCAGCTGATAAAATCAATGATGCAATTATTATTGAGGGGAAAAAGTTATTTAATTTTGTCAATGCTCAAAAAACAGAATCACTTTTCTCAAGAAAATATTAATGGCGGCTTCTTCAGCTTTTGAATCCTCTTTAAGAAGAGGGAACCCGACAACGGCGGCGTCCTCTAGAAAAACGACACCGTCCAACTCTTCCACAAGAGCTGCGGCAGCTCCCCCTCGGAGATCCAGAAGCGTTAGTGCCTTCTCAAGAACCTCTAATTCCGACTTCTCCGGCTTTTCCATTAAAAGAGACAATCCTCTCTTTGATAACAACAACGACGACGACTATGAAGAAGCTGGGTTCCCGAATTCCAGCCTTGAATCAGGCCGAATCACTTCCAAAACGATGACCAAAGCAACCGCCGCCGATGCTTATAATAACAAGAGAGGTAGATCTGTTTCCAGATTTGGCTCCGATGGTAAACACGTGTCGGGTTCGGGGAATAGCCAGGAGTTGTCTCGGAGCTTCTCCGTTGTGGATACAAGGAGACGTGGTCGCTCCGTCTCCCGCAATCCTCCGCTTTCAAGAACTCATTTCGCTACTTCTGAGGTTTTGCTGACTTCCAATATCATTTTCCTAAATCTGATTTTTGTTCAATTTAATTTCAAATAGAAGTATTTTGAATGAGTATTTTGCTTAGAGCTGAGAAAAATACTAAGAACCCCCAAAATTGATTATAGCTCTAGTGTTCGTTCGGCTTTGAGTGACTATATATATATTGAATAATGGATAAATATGTTAAATTTTGGTTGACAAGTTAGAGACACTTATTCCTAATTATCATATATTTTAAATATTTTTTATTATTAATTTTATTTTTACCTTCTAATATTGTATAAGTTAATACCTTTAAAATTTTAAATGTTAGCCTATGATATAAGATTACGTGCCTGTCTATGTAGGCCTATAAATGAATTAAACGTTAAGTGAACCGTACTGTGAAAAGTTCGTTTATGTTCGTTTATTTAACATGAATAAGATTTTTCGTTCGTTTAATTAAATGAACGAACATGAACAGAGGGCTCGTTCGTTCATTTACGTTCGTGAACGTTCGATTATATGTTCGTTTATGTTCGTTCATTTATGGTCGTTCGGTTATATTCATTTATGTTCGTTCAGTTATGTACATTTATGTTCGTTCATTTATGTTCTAACAGAGGGCAAATTGAATATATTACGAAGATTATTGAAGTTGTTTGGAACTTTGGATTTCAAGAAGATTGTTTTACTGAACAAATTAACTTTAAAACTTTATTATGTTCATTTAGCTTATTTATGATTTATGTATGTTTTTGTCGTATTTGAACAAATTAACTCTAAAGTTACAGGTTATATTAATGAATTTTAAGTTGTTATTCTTGTTGTTTATTTTTTTTTACATTCATTTGTTGTATTCGAATAAGTTTGTTTTTTGTGTTTGTGTTGTTCGTTTATGTTCGTTTACGTTCGTTTATTGCGTTCGTTTATTACATTTGTTTATGTTCGTTTATCGTTTAAATGAACGAACATGAATAAAAAAAATTTGTTCGTTTATGTTCGTGTTTGTTTATTTGTTCGGTTAAAGTTAAATGAACGAACATGAACATATCTCTATTCGTGTGTGTTCGGTTCATTTACATGCCTATGTCTATGGATTGAGCTTCCTTGTCAATCATAGGAAACTTTTTATTTATTTATTTATTTTGTTTAATTATTTTTTACTCATATTTCTTTCATTTGGTAGAGTGAGGTGGAGCAAGAACGTAATTCCTGGATGAAGTCCAAGAATAAAGGAAATTTATTTGCTACATCGGGGAATGGTCAAAAGGGTAATTTAGTTAAAAGCAGATATATTTTAACACGGTCAGGCCAGCGGAAGCGTATAGATCCTTCGGATTCACCTACAAGTTTGGTATTAACTATATAGACCTTTTTTTATTTCTGAATAAAATGTTTTTGAAAGATTTGCTTGATATTTAATGCAAATAAGGAGTCTTTCTTTGTAATGACAAAATGAAATGATTTAGTCTCAACGGGTTCTTTTTCAGAAGCTGAACTTGTGGAGGTGAGATTTTTGGATAATTTGAATTGGTTTGCTGTATGTGGAAGTTTTAATCACTGCTGGGGCTGGAAAAAACTGAGAAAACTAAAAATTTGTATTCTAGTGTTTGGTTTCTAAGTATGTTGTAGTTGAACTCTGTTCAGTTTTAGTGCGGACTCTGGATAATATATGAACACATTTGTTCTGTTTTGGCTGAGAAATTAAAAACCTGGTGGACCAAACTGATCCAAATTGGTAGAATTTGGTTTCGTATGACATTTGATTCATCTTCTGTTTGGTTTTTAAGAAGATCAAAATACCGAACGGTAACTGAAATTTCTGTTTAAAAATGGACCGTTATTACCCTGTCTCCGGCTAATTTCTTGAATCCTAGTTTAAGAAGTGCTTAATATTTGAATGTCACTGATCAATTTATTAGTTTACATGTCAAAATCTGCTGATCATTTAGTTTGTCCTGCATTATTTTTCAAGCCATATGAAGGGGATAATTTTGTGGGAGATGATTCTGCTGCTAGTGACATATACAGAACTGTTAAATCCGAAGTGAGGCCAGCTATTTCCGACATCCAAAATGAGCTTCAGGGTGTAAGTTATTTTAGATTTCTTGGGTTCAAAATTCTACTTTGGGTCCCTAGATGAGTTCAAGTCAATAAACACGAGGATACCTTTTTATTTGAAGCTGTTTTCTCAACGTGCGCCCCTAAACTATGACCCTCCTATTACAAAGAAAACATAGCTGTATTCGACCCTCATACTTGGTTTGTGTGACAATTTGTAAAACATCTGGAAAAGAAAGTAAATACTTGATTTTGGTATTAGTTATTTTGCTCACAACTTCTCTAACTGTGTTCTTCAGGATTATCCTAGTACAGAGGTTGAATTGTATGCCGGTCAGTGATCTGTTATTGCTTCTTATGATTTCAGGCTATTAGGAGGAATAACACAACTACCAATGCGGTTGTGTCAGACTTACAACATGAATATGCCACAAAACTCGAGCAGGTAATCTTCTTCTTTGCAATCATCTATATTAATCAAGACTCTTGTGTGTGTGTCAGATGAGTATGCATATGCCATGTGTATGTTCAATGTTCAGTATACGGGTACTTCGAGGGTCGGATCCTCGTATTTATGTCCGAAAATGAATTAGACAAGGGTTTCAAATATGGGTACATAAAGAAAAATTAAAAATCAAAGTACCATAGCTGCAATTACTTCAATACTAATCTTCTTACTTTCAGGCTAGCTTCATTTACAGTTGCTATATTAGGAGTGATGAGATACAATTAGGTAGCATTTAGAGAGTAGTGTGTGATATTTGAGTTAAAGAGACATGTTAGAGGCGAAGAAGGGTGATGCCATTTTTTGTAAGGCATTTATAATTTTCAGATAGATTTGAGTTAAAGAGATACAAGCACTTGGCCACTAAGATCGCCCCCATTTTTTTAAAAACTACACCAATCCATTTCAGTCTGAATGTGTGAGGCAGATCAGCAGCACATTCCCTTTGGTTGGCCAGATCAGAGGCCTACGGCCTTTTCTTCTCTGTTCCACCTCCCCTCTTCCTTTGGGGCATTGGACCTTCAATATAATCCGGTGATGGCTAGGATTCTTTTACCATGTGTCCTGATTGGATCGGTTGTTCTGCCGTTGTCAACCAATTTAATTGTGATGTTTGATCTCAGAGCTTAATTACTTGACAGAATGAAAGTTCAACATAAGTGCAAATATTTGTTCTTTTAAGTACCAAATTTTAAGTAGTGTACGCTACTGTGGCTAAATCAATATTTAAGCAGAGTATTTTCCTATTTCCTTGCATTTGCAGTCCCAAGAACGTGCCAGACAACTGCGTGCTGACCTAGCTGTCGAGGAACACCGGGGCATGGAGCTTAGTAGAATCCTTAAGGAAGTGGTTCCAGATGCCAAGGCTTCTAGCACAAAAAAATCGCATCCTGGACGAAAAGTAAGTATATATAAATTTAAGACAATTTTCTGAAACAGTTTTACATTTTACATTTTACATTTTAAGGCACTATCTGTGCTGATGCATGCCTATAGTTGTTCTTATCAGAAAACGTTTTTCCAGATTCTTATATTCATTTCAGCTAATTATTCATGCAGTTTATTGGGTTCTTTATCCGAGCGAAATCGTTGGATTCTGTTCTAGAATTATGCACTCCCATTCGTATGAATCTCATTTTGAGTTGGAGTAACTTTCACTGCAGTTAACTCCTATTTGAATCATAGATCCTTATATTGAGAATTTTACCGTCGATCTGCAGATATGTTGGTCTCTGAGTTTGCTTCTTTGCTTTCTTTCTAAATAATTTCTACTTAAATATGGTGACAGTCTAGTATCGAGAGAAGGAAGATATCGAAATGTCTAACTGATGATGCCCTCGCCTATTTCGATGAGTGTGTCTCACTGTCAACATTTGACGGCTCCGACTTCTCATCAGTAGAAGATCCGCCACTCAAATGTGCGGGCACCATCGATGTTGATGGAGTATCGTTGCCACACGTAAACTGTTCGGACAACGAATGGAATCGAAAACTCCGTTTTTCCTTTTCTCCCAAACCAGGCCCAATATGCGAGATCCAACAAGACATTAAGAAGTACGTCAAAGGTTTCGAGAAAGACTTCGGGAAGATCAACAATGATTCGCAGATTATACAAAGAAACTGTTATGATCCGAACGAATACAATTTGCAGCCTTCACAACAAAGCCTGTTGTTTGATCATGTGTTCCTCAAAAACAGGTTAGATTCAGGAAATTTGCTTCTCTGCAGCGGCGGATGTTTTTCAGCTTCATTATTGCCTTTTGCTTCTTTAATCTAAATTTTGTTTTCTTCTAAACATAAAGAAATTTAGTATTATACCACTATTTGTTTTCGTATTTCTCGTGCATACGGATTGTTTTGTATTTACCTTTTACAAATGGTTAATGTATATATTATTTGATTTTTGTGTTAATTTGTAAAAACAATGTTTTATTTTTTAAAATTTCATTGAAATTAAATTTACTAATGGCCTAAAGTATACAACAGAGAAGCTCCGAGTCCCATAAGAATAAAAGCAGCCATCCCCATATTTATTATCAACGCCCTATCTTCCTTCCCCGTTTCTTTGTTTCCCTTCACTTTCTCTTCAACTTTGGTTGCAGGTTCAATGGTTGTTTCCTTGCTTCGTTTCGTACTTCCATCGTCTTTTGTGTCATCGCCATTGTTCGTGACAGCACGTGAACAGCTTTTGAGGTTAGATTGGACACTACGTTGAAGTAATTCCTTTGGTTGGTTGTTTTGAGGTTTGTTTGGAATTTGTGCTTTGTTTTTGTTATAAAGTAATATGAAAGGTATAACTTCCTCAATAGGTAATGCCATTATTCTTCCCTACATTTTTAAGGTTCTCTTAAACAATAATTTAAATGTTCCAAGAAAAATTTACTTTCTATATTAGGATAGATAATACAAAATTTATCAAGCTAAATTATGCTTTTATAAAATGTTCTAATTATATGTTTGATTTATACTTATGATTGTGTATCATTATTATAATTTTAAATTTTTTAATAAAACTAACGACTAATTATTTGCATAAAAATTATGAAAGTTTATTGTTGTCATATATACTTTTTAAGATATAAGATTTAGATTTAAGGGATATAAGTTAAAATTTAGTATCATAAAAGTATGTTAAATGGTGAATAGATATATTTACATATTAATTATTATTATTATTATTATTATTATTATTAATGTATTAAATAATAACTCGTATTTTAAATGATAGAATGACATTTTTAATCCTATAATTTTACCACTTTTATATTTTAATCTTTAAATTTTTATTACGTTATGTTTTACACTCAAACTTTTTTCAGGCAAACTACATAGTCGGTCACTAATGTTTGAAGTAATTTTCGTTTTTCCCATTGATGTTTTAAAAGTTATAAATCGGTCACTAACGTCATCAATTGGTTACAAACTTGTCACTCAATGTTAACAGACCTTAACAGGTGTGGCGGAAAATATATCTGACGTGTTAAGTGCTTGCATGGATTGTTGACTGCCACGTTAGACAACCATTAAGATCCTTTTGACTGGAGCTTTATTAATATTACAATATATATTAAACAAATATGTAATAAATATTTATTTGATTAATAAATTAAGGGAGAAATCAAGGGTTTCATTTAGATGAAAAGTTCTTAACCATTAGGATCCCATTTCTTCTTCCATTCATATGAGAAAATCAACTTTAATTAAGAGAAAAACTAGTAAAAAATGATCATATGGGAAAAAATGGAGAAAAACCTAGGTCTGAGTGATTAAGAGCACATAAATAAGGAATACTTTGATTTAACGAGCAAAGAAACGAGAAAAAAACTCAAATTTTAAGGGAAAATGGTACTTATACGGAGGCTACGATATAGGGGGACAACACTATGTTTAGGATAAATTTATTTTGGGTTTTCTTTAGATTTAACATATAACAATTGAGGTTGTAGGGTTCTTGATATGTTGTTATTTTTTGAAATATGAACTTTTTTATAGTCACTCAAGCATATGTTGTTGGTTTTATGTGAGATATGCTTTCTTAACCTTTTGATAAGATAGTTTTCTTTGAGATATACAAAATGTTATCATCTGTTAATAAAATGCTTAGTAGAAGTATATGTTATTGGTTTCTCTGTGATATGCAAAATATGAATCTTTTGATATGTTGGTTTTCTCTGTGAATGTGATATACAAAATGTTATCCTCTGTTAACAAAATATGGACCTTTTGATATTCAATGTTAGTTTTCTTTGCTAAGTTATGGTAATTTGTGATATGCAACTGTAAATTTGTGATATGCTATGATATATGTGAGATATGTTGACTTTATGCCTTGTATGTTTTATATGTTATGTCAACCAAGTTCACGTAGGTACTTAATGTGCAAGGTATGTTTTTCGTCACGTCTATTAAAATTGAGTGACCAACTTGTAACCAATCGATAATGTTAATGACTGATTTGTAATTGTTGAAACATTAGTGGGAAAAACGAAAATTACCTCAAACATCAGTGACCAACTGTGTAATTTATCCAACGTTTTTTTAATCAAACAGTTGACAAATTCAAAGTAAATGGGCAAATTCAACGGTTAAACCCAAAATAAAAAGACGATTAGATGAACTAAATCGGAGCTAAGATTTCAAGAAAGATGATGAAACCCCCACTTCCCAACCACTTTCTAGACCTCCACTAATTCACTCCCCACGTTTTTTAATATATTTTTTTCCAAAATAGAAGAAAAAATTAAAAAAATTATCAATGTTATTTTATTAAACTCTCAAAATAAATAATCAAGTATTAAAATTTTCACATTCATAAGATAAAAAATTCTTCTAATAAATTTGTTGTATTTCCAAAATATAAAATATTATAGTTTTTTTCTCATATTATTCTAATTTAAATTTAAAATTTTAAATAATTTTATTGATTTCATTGATATCAATTGACTTAATTTTACACACTTAAAAAATATACTAAATTCGAACAAACGTTTGATTTGAAATCCAATTATTTAGTATGAACTAACTTACCTCATAAATTAAAAAGAATCGTTGTTGTTCTTAGAAACGATTGACAATTTATTGTCAAATAATTAAGATTATTTAATTATTAGTAAAAAGTGAATGAATTACAAATTAATAATTAAATATTTCATTTTTATTTTAATGTATTTAATATAAGGGTAAAGTACACAAATGGTCTTCCAACTATGAGATAGTGTTTTATTGAATCCATTAGCTATTACAAGTTATAAATTGGTCCCTTGACTATAGAGACTTAATTTATTGAGTCCCTCGACTATTAAAAATTATAAAAATGATCACTCAACTATTCATTATGTTTTAAATTTATCCTTTTTTGTTAAAAATTAACAGTCATCTGAGTTGGATATTAATATGATGACTAGATATAATAGTCGTTTCAGATTATGTGATCATATTTTATCGAATCTCAGTCAACTACAACTCAGAATGTCATCAAATTTTTAATAAAAAATGATGAGTTTGGAACATAATGAATAGTCAGGTGACCATTTTATAACTTTTAATAGTCAATTGACTCAGCAAAGCAATTCCCTATAATCAAAGGACTAATTTATAATTTGTAATAGTTGGAGGATTTAATAAAATAATATCTTATAGTCAGGGGACTATTTATGTACTTTACCCTTAATATAAATGGAAGACAGTAATAAACCTTCCTCTCTTTTTCTCTCTCCTCCTTTGTCTCTGAAGTAAATGAAAAAGACAAAAACCAAAAATCAAGACTTTGCTGCAACTTCTAACATTCCAGAACCATAAATTAAAGCACTTCACTAATCACTTGCGTATTACTTTCTGGTGTTCTCAGCTTAAAGGGGTATCATTATTTTGCTTTTATATGTAAGATTTTATTTTTCCTCTTTTTTTTATAGGCAGTGTAGTAGCAGTATTGGCTGCTGTGTTCTTTGGTTTCTGAAGTTAAGCTGCTAATGATGTTGCTACTCTCTCACCAATATTGTTTGGATTCCGAGAAAACTTCAGTAACTTATAATGTTCATCGTCTCTGAAATACTGGGTTGCTGTTTGTTTTCTAGATGGGGATGAGTTCTGTGAAGCTGCTGCTGGCGGCGGCTTTGTGGTTGGAAATGGTGGCCGGAGCCGAGTATGTCAGGTACAAAGATCCCAAGCAACCAGTAGCTGCTAGAGTTAAGGATCTGATGTCCAGAATGACATTAGCTGAGAAGATTGGCCAAATGACCCAGATTGATCGAAGTGTTGCTACTGAACAGATATTGAGAGATTACTCCATTGGTAATAGTTTTTTTATCCTTTGTTTTTGTTCTGATTACTGTGTTTGATAATGGCTTTTTTTTTTGGTTTCTGATTATTTTTTGTTGATGGGGTCAGTCACAACTTTTATATAGTTACCGCATAGAAAGTAATACACATACAGTATTTGTGTAATCATAATTTTATTGGTATAAGCTGTAGTTTAGTATGCTTAATTGGTTCATTCTGGCTAGCAGCCATTAAAATATGAATCTTTTGATCGGCCATGTTTGGTTTAAATTCTAGCCTTTGTTATCTGGAGTTTGCATTCTCTTTAAAGTGTTAATGTTAGGGACATAGTTAGATAGGAGCATAAGATATGATCCTCCAAATATATGAAAAAAGATCTTAGGAAAAAAATGAGCATACTTGTATTTGGAACTCGACCCCAAGTCCGGATGTCGCAGTTCTATTGGTTAACGGTCAGGAATTGACCGTTTATTTTATTGCACAGGGAGTGTGTTGAGTGGTGGTGGGAGTGAGCCACTTCCGGAGGCTAGGGCCGAGGCTTGGATCAATATGGTTAATAGGTTTCAGAATGGATCTCTGTCTAGTCGCTTAGGAATTCCGATGATTTATGGCATTGATGCTATTCATGGACACAACAATGTGTATAATGCTACAATATTTCCACATAATGTGGGGCTCGGGGCAACCAGGCAAGCATAGCATTTTGATTCAGTTCTGCTGATTTTTGTCATAGAATCATTAACTTTTGCTTCTTCTTTTTTCATTGTTTAACCTTCCATTCTTCTGTTGGAAGCTTAGTTTACCATCAAAAGAAATAAAAGGGACAACATTAATAACAATTTCCATTAAACTAAATGATCATTTTATGTTTTCACTTGAGAAACCTATTGTTTTCCTGAAAGGAAGGATAGAGTCGAGCTTTTGTCGCACTTCAGTTCAAAGGTAAACTCCATTCGAATGAACTATCTGCATCTTATAACAACTATGGATATGCAGAGATCCTGAGCTGGTGAAGAAGATTGGTGCTGCAACTGCTCTCGAAGTGAGAGCTACTGGGATTCCTTACGTCTTTGCTCCATGCATTGCGGTAACTTGTGCACTTTTCATAAAATCAGACAGTTGTGTCCAGTAATTTCTTTAAAATTTTCTAAGGTGCTAGCTGCATTAGAATTCACCTCGTCAGAATACAACATTTTCTCTTGACATTTCTTTATAGGTATGTAGAGATCCAAGGTGGGGTCGGTGTTATGAAAGCTACAGCGAGGATCATAAAGTTGTGGAACAAATGACAGATATCATACCTGGTCTGCAAGGAGATATTCCCTCTGGTTCACGCAAAGGGTTTCCCTATGTCGGTGGAAAGTACGAAACTTGACCAAGTTAACATGCTTCATACCGTATAATTGTATATTCTCTTTAGAATTCCGTTTTTTACGGTTCTAACATCGAGGAGTTACTCTTCTAAGTGTCCCTTTTTAATGCCATGGATTTCCTCATTTTCCTCACGCTCCTTGTCACACTTTTACAATTCAAAATCAAGTGATGTAGACAAGTACATATATTAAGTCTTGCATTACTTTCCCTTTTCATTCGTCTTGGATGCCCCATGAAAACCGTGGTTTATCTAGTCTTCTTTTTATTCACGAATAGTACACTTTGCAGCTTATGTTTCATACAGAATCACTAATGATGCCCCAATATTATATGCTGTGTATATGATATGATGTGTCCCATTTTATTTCCCGCTTTAATCTGTTCTACGGTTCTGTCAGGGACAAGGTTGCAGCTTGTGCTAAGCACTTTGTAGGCGATGGCGGGACAACTCGGGGCATCAATGAAAACAACACTGTGATTGACATGCATGGGTTGCTTAGCACGTACATGCCTGCTTATGCTCAATCGATTATCAAGGGTGTTTCAACCGTTATGGTTTCCTACTCTAGCTGGAACGGACAAAAGATGCATGCAAACCGTGAGCTAATTTCTGGTTTCCTCAAGAACACTCTTAAGTTTAAGGTTGAGACTTGTTACAGATCTTTATTGGTAACAAAAAATTGTGAATTTAAAACATAATTAAAATCCCTTGATTTTTTAAAATATTGGACCAAAATATGTTGTTCTCATGTTTGTTCCTTGTTACATTGTACTATGGTTGCTTTCTTTTCCATCAGTAGAACCTACCTATAGCTATACTTGATATGTTCCTGTTAACACAAATTGTTGTTTTCATGGATTTTCAGGGTTTCGTAATATCAGATTGGCAGGGAATAGATAAGATCACCTCACCACCACATTTGAACTATACGTACTCTGTTCAAGCAGCGATTCAAGCTGGCATCGACATGGTTAGTAGCTTTTGTATAGACATGTTTCAGATAAAATCGAAGATAACTCTTTCTTGCCATAAGTTATTGTAAACTCGAATCTTGACAGTATCAATGCGTTCTTTGATTTGTGTTTCTGCAGGTCATGGTCCCCTACAACCTTACAGAGTTCGTACGTGATCTAACTAATCTAGTGAATGGTAAAGTTATTCCGATGGACCGCATTGATGACGCAGTGCAAAGAATTTTGATAGTCAAATTCACTATGGGATTCTTTGAGAACCCTATGGCTGATTTTAGTCTAGTTCCCGAGCTCGGAAGCCAGGTTAGTTAGCATCACAGAACATGCGAGATTATTTTCATCTCTATCCGGTTTTCTTCGGATATATAGATCTGAAATCATCATTTGTTGCTCTTTCTAACTTTCTACGGATCATTGTCCAAGTGTTCTTTGTAAAACTCATTCCATTAATGTTTTGATATCCCATTACTTGTCAAGGCACACCGAGACTTGGCGAGGGAAGCTGTGCGAAAATCACTTGTATTGCTGAAGAACGGGAAACCCGGAAGTACTCCGCTACTGCCTCTTCCGAAGAAAGCATCAAAGATCCTAGTTGCTGGCACTCATGCTGATAATTTGGGTTATCAATGTGGTGGATGGACAATTAATTGGCAAGGATTTAATGGCAATAACGACACGAGGGGTATACTTTACTTCATTTATCATTCAAAAGGCTGGTCAGCTTACAAGTTTTCAATTGCAATAAATTTACTAATATTTTTTCTGTGACTAGGAACAACAATCCTTAGTGCCGTAAAATCTACCGTCGATCGGAGTACTGAAGTTGTTTACCGTGAAAGCCCTGATGCCAACTTTGTGAAATCTAACAAATTTGATTATGCAATCGTTGCTGTTGGTGAGCCCCCTTATGCTGAGACTGCAGGGGATAGCGCAGACCTTACGATGATAGACCCTGGCCCAAGTGTCATTAATGATGTCTGTGGAAATGTCAAGTGTGTGACTGTTATTATTTCGGGCAGACCCATCGTGATTGAACCATATGTTTCTGTTATTGATGCTCTACTGGCAGCGTGGTTACCGGGCACTGAAGGCCTAGGTGTGACCGATGTCCTTTACGGGGACTACGGATTCAGCGGAAAGCTTCCAAGAACATGGTTCAAAAATGTAGATCAGTTACCGATGAATGTCGGGGATTCACACTATGATCCGCTCTTCCCCTTTGGATTCGGACTTAAAACTGATTCGGGCACGAGCATTGTTTCAAGGTATTCCTCCTTACCTATTTTGATAACTCTTCATGCATGCATCATATGGAAACATCTTGCCAGCGAATGAAATGTCGCGGCTGGATCTCTTGGCCCCCCATGTAGAATGTCCTATGTTAGAATGCTGGGTCCGATAAGTTGCATAACTTCCGTAGAAGTCCTAAAAACAACTTATGTTCGTAGCAAATCCGAATCATTACTAAAAATCGAGACAAGAAAAACAAAAACAACCTATAATGTGCAAATCCCATTTTATGAAAAGAATTTTTAGCTTCCGGAACGAAATATCTGATTAACCGCATGCCTGTTCCTTTCTTACATGATTGATGGTGTTTTCCGCAGGTCGATCTCATCTGTAGCTTCAAAAAGGCCTTGCTGGTTTATCCTTCTGATAACCATCACTTTGAGTTTCTGTTTCACAGGTAACATTCCATGCTTTCGAACTGATTTCACTTTGAAAGCTTATAATATCCATTTGCATTATCGATGAATCTGTTCAATAAACTTGACAGGAAAATAGCTAAATAAGTGAAAGTTTTACTTCAAAGACGGCTGCACCGAGGTGGTGGGATTCGTTTGGAGCGGAGGCTGGACTGTTTAAGCATTGCTCAACATGTTATGATGTCAAAGCAATGTCAAATGTGATGGTAGTAGCAGTTTCAGCCATTCTCGGCTGTAGAAACCATTGGTATTCTTAACTTTTTATCAACCAATGTACTGAATCACCTTTATGTTACAAATTTTTCGTTTATGCAAATCACTTGCATTTTCCTTTGTTTCTTGCAACTTTGTGCATATCAATCATAAATGGGTTCAAATACATGGCCTAATTACATGATGAAATCAAACATGTCCATATCGATTATATATTTGTATCTGATGGTTTACAATCAAAAGTTGTTGAGAAATTAATATAGGTAAATTATTGGTCACTTTTGTTTGGTAAATATTCACCTTTGGTCATTAGTTTGATGATACAACACATTAGTAAAAAAAGTTAATTTTTAATTTGATCTCTAAAGTTTAGATAAAATCTTAATTTGATCCCTAAACTTTATATAAAATGTTAATTTAACCTTTCACTTAAGATACAATATCAATTTAACTCGTGAATCCTATTAACAATTAAACTCAAGTTCCAAGTTAATCAACTTGGTTACAAAGTACAATTTCCATATTATGACAACTAAAAACAGGCAGTGCAATTGAAACAACAACAGGGCTGTAATATTTTCAGTCGAAGTATCAGTTTAATGTAACAATCAGATTACATGTATGACTCCATACGACTTTCATCAGCTCAAAAATAGATAAGATCAGCAAAAATCATGTAGTAAACAAAGTTCTTTCTTTCTAAAACCCTAATTTCCCAATCTTCAAGTGGACAAACCCACTCACATTCCAAAACAAGAGGTTAAATATTAAACCGAAACAGTATATGGTACCACTGTTCATACTCAAGGGCTGAGGCTCCATGCTCCCTTTTAAAAGATGGTGGAACCTGATCTTCTGAATTTGCATTGTAGTTCACAGTGGACCAGAGGCTGAAAAACAAAGCTAAATGGCTTTAACAATGGTATATCTAGTTCAAACAGATAATAATAACAGTGTGTACCGATTCAGAATTTTATGCTATGCAGAAGAAATTGCAGCATAGCCTTTCTCCTCAAGAACTTGGGCTAAGGAGCTATCTCCCGTCTTTATGATTCTTCCGTCCTCCTGGAAATATCAAATGAGAACATAATCAGATCAGGAAAAAGATATTTTCTAACAGTAGATAACAAGCTCCTTTTAGGATGAAATCTCAAGTATATAAAAGTTAGAAGTGGTGACTAAATAAAAATTGAAAGAAAAAACAATAACATGAGTTAAGATGTCCAAAAAAAATCTTGTTAAGACAAAGACTCGAGGAACTCGGTTAAACAAGGCAGAACGGTTTCTTAAGTCTGGTACTGTTTTAAGATGCTCCCAGTACCTAATTAGAGCGTACAAAGACGATTAACAGTATCAAAACTACAAATCAAAATAAGATACTCATCCAATAGGGTGCAATTTCACAAACAACAATCATAAACAGAAGAGACAGGTGGACCTATGAAACATAAGTTAATTTGCTGATCACTTGCAATCAAGAATGTCAACCAATGTACGTAGTCTATAGTTCAGCCAAAATCTCAGCTTATATTGTGTCAGTTACTGACTTGTGTAGTTTGATATCTTTCTAAGACTATAAGAGATGCCAAGGAGGACAAATCATACAAACCATATAGGTTACCATGAAAAAGAGCATTGAGAGTTTCCCACAAGAAAGTCACATTCATCAATTTTCCACAGAAAAGATGACTGGGTAAGAAGAAAAACAACAGTAATCAAAAGAAATAAGGCTGAACAAACGAGTAGGAAGGAGGATAAAACTCAAGAACTAGGGGTTAAAGGAAACCTCTAGTTTTCTTTAATTCAAAGACAACAATAATGATAAGTTGTGGTTGACTGGTTGTAATACTTTTAGAGCTTATTTATACTAGGGTCAGAAAGATAATTTAATCCTAGCCCTTAATTTAAAACTTAAAGGAAACTTATAATCCTAGCCATCCAAAATATCTCTAATATTTCATAAAACTGAAATAAATAAATAAATAAATATTATAACAATATAAGCTCCTGCGTCAAAAGAATATCAACATAATATACACTTGATCAGTGCTTTGAAGTTCTAAATGACTCACCATAATATGGATGAATGTTGGTTTAATAAACTCCAACAGCCGGCGATAATGAGTTATCATCAAAACTGAGTTATTTGGAGTCAAAAGGCCATTTACTGCTTTTGCTACATCTCGAAGGGCATCAACATCTAGTCCAGAATCAATCTCATCAAGTATAGCCAAGTCTGCTCCAAGAACCTATAAAATATAGTGATGAGGGAAAAATGATTTTCTTAGCTTCAATGCATTATGTAACCAACAAACCTATGAGAATTCAGAACTATAACTCAATGTCTCTCTCTCTCTCTCTCTTAGTGGAGAGGAGCAGCACGGATTTGAACTCAAAGCATCCAAAACAACCTGACCTATATTCTATATTTTTGGCATGCAAGAAAACATCCATAGTATGTGGTGTGGTTTAGGGAGAAAACATCAGCAAATCAATAGAACTGTCGCTGAAAACGAGTAAGATGGAAGTTGGAAATCTTGAGAGAAAAGGGTCATAAAAGCCACCGTTTTAAGGAGAAAACAGCAGCAAATCAATAGAACTACCACAGAAAACAAGTAAGATGAAAGTTGCATCTCTTTACTCTCTTTTTTTGGGGCGGGGGCGATAAAAACCCTTGTTTCTGAAGTCTACTAAATAAAAGAAAATAAAAATGTAGTTGCGAATCTATTTTACGGCTTATTTATACTAGGAATATGGATTTCAATCCTAACACTATATTAAAACTCTAAAGATAACATATAATCCTAACCATCCATGAAATTCTAAAATAGCATAAATTGCATTACTATGTAAGCTGTGAACTGCAATTCAAAGTTCTAACAAGAATCTGCCTTCGCAACTAGCAAATGAAGACAAAGATAAAGTTCCATTGATTGACACAAAGATACTGATCTATCAACCAATAGATGAAACGCACAAAATGATTCCACAATGAAATTGCCAAGAAGTTATATCATATTACTGCAAGCTGTAAAATCTCATTGCGCTTCCTTTCACCTCCACTGAATCCTTCATTGACATTTCGGTTAAGGAAGTCAGTCTTCATGTTCACGAGATCAAGTTTAGGATATATATAAGCATAGAACTGCAAGAGTAAACTGATGTGAGTATTATAATCAATAATAACAAGAGCACGAATATCGTGTTTTCCATATATTTAAGAACCTATAAATTAGAAGAATAACAATCTATAGGTAACCTAACCATGGAAACTTTTGATCTTCTCATATTGTTATTGATTAAATGAGAACAACAATAAAAATGTCAATAATGCATTAGAAAGTTCTTTCATAAAAAGGTTCGGAGGGCAGTTCATATACCTCAAGTGGACCAAGCTCGGGCTCGCCAAGTTTTTTCCTTCGAGCATTGTATGCCATGTGCAAAAAGTCAATATTGTTCACACCCGGTATCTCAACCGGAGACTGGAAACTCATAAAAAGTCCGGCAAGAGACCTTTCCTCCGGCTCCATGTCAAGCAAATTCTCTCCCTTAAACACAACACTGCCCCTAGTCACCTCATAATCCGGATGCCCAACAAGAACCTACAATACACATTCTGTGAAGATCTTCCAATAAATAATTCAGAAACCAGACTGTTTTGACCAAATACAAGTAACTTGCATTTACACCCCAATTTAAGATAAGGAAAACGATTACTTTAATGAACTTGAGATTTAGCTCAGTGGGTTTATATAGTCGTATGCATCTCTTAGCCTATTCTCTAGCTATACACTGCTTTATAATATATATAAATCTATATATATTTGAATGCAAGTGAAAAAATGCTGACCTTAGAAAACGTACTCTTCCCGGAGCCATTCTTTCCCATTATAGCATGAATCTAATAATAATAAGCAAACAGAATTTAATTAAAATATGAGTCTAATGTAACAAAATTCATTCATGCAAACTAAAGTATCAGAAATATAGATTCAAATTGACCTCTCCCTGGTTAACGACGAGGTCAACGCCTTTGAGGATCTCCTGCTTGGTTTCAGCAATCACAGCAGTTAAGCCTTTGACTTCGAGAAGAGGCGTCTTATTGTTACCAAGACCGTCGACGGAGGTGGGAGATTCGACGGAGGAGAGGGAAGCAGCGACGGTCCTAGGAGACGGCGCGTGAGTGGAGCCTAAGCGTATAGAGCGAGTGACCGGGAGAGAGAGAGACGTGGAAGAAGAAGATTTTCGTTTGAAGAAGGGAAGAGAAAGGAGTGGTGGTGAAGCAGTGCACTGAATTTGCCAAGCCAAAGCCATTGCCGAACAATAATTTTTTGCTCCTGTTTTATTCGGTTATTAAAAACCATGGATTTGTGAGTCGTCAGCCCACCTCTCCGATTTGAAAAAAATCCAAGCCCAAGTCCGTCACCCCATTATATTATTCAATAAAAATACTTTTATATTAATAATGTTTGGTTTGGTACATTAAACAAACACTCTCGATAATAATTTATGAAATTATTTTTATTAAATCAGAGATATTTTATTTATTTTAATATTTAATACTACTATTTATCATTCTTAAATATTTAATAATAATATTTTAACTAATCGTTTTTAACAATTTTATTTTCAATTATATTTTTTCATTATTTATTAATTTCTCAAATGGATTACAGCTGTATTTAATTATATTTTTGGCTCAAGTATATACCTAAAGTGTAGGAATTGATCTGAGATGTCAAATCATCACCTTCAACCTGGACATCATCTCTAGAACCTCATCGTCATTTTTTAAAGTGTTTTGCGTTTTGACAAAAGTACATAAACCCCCATCTTTCCGCGGTCTACAATGCGTGATGATGGAATCAGTGACTCGGTCTGGATCAGTATTTTAAACCAATCAGCCTTCTGATTCCAGCTCAACCAGTTACCTAGCCATATCAACGTAAATTACATTTTCTTTGTTTAAATACAAAGTTCAATTAATAAAAAAAAATACAAAGTTCAATAAGTATTGAATATAGTTCGCAATTAGTTAATTACTATTAAGTACGGATTTGACTTAATGGTATAGGTTTGAGCATAAAACAAAATAATTAAAGGTTCAAATCTCATCCTTACAAATAAAATTATCATAAATATTTTACAAGTTTGATCCGGTTTTGTGCCAGTTTGACCAACAATCGGTTCAACCGACTGCACAGGCCTGGCTTTCTAATCCATGCAAAAACCAACAACACAATTTTTGCAATTTAGCAAAAGATGGTTTAAACATTGTTCACATAATCACCCTTATTTCTACCGATCAACGTCAGGCTGCAATAGGAAGCTTGTTTTTGCGCCATATCCAATAGCTTGCTCTCAAGGAGTCCACGTGTTCCAGGATGTCACAAATTGCCGTTGCCAAATCAGCATCTAATGGGTGAGTGTCTGAAGTCCAGAGAGCAACGACAGCATCTCTGAACTCTTGGGATGGCTGAAAGCCATAACAAAGAAGATCGAGAAGCATTTTCAGTGCGAAAATGTAGTTGTTTTTCGTGTTTATTACCTTCAAACATACTGATGAGATCTCACGATCATTAACCAAAGATTCAATATCGTCTTTGTAAAGACCTCGGAGGTATCTCCATGGACACTCGTTGTTTGGGTTGGCCACAATGGCTTCCACACTGTATCTCACTTCAGATGCTCTCACGGCTATCAGGCCTCCCAAGAAAGGAGATCTTGTTACAACAAAATATCTCTGTTGCAAATTAATAAACAAACAAATAAAGTTAAATTGATATCACTCATATTTTAAAAAAAGAAAACATTGGTTAGGGTATGAAGTAATTAGTGGAACTTCATGCGAATCATGGCAGATAGCGCATTATCAGTGGCATGGCATCATATATAGGGTTGGCAGAATAACCCATACCAATCGGGTTTTACCTACTGGAGCACTTATTTTACGAAAATCAGGTTTGATGCAGGCAATAAAAGTTAATATAACATAAAGTATTGTGTAAAAATTTATAGTGAGACAAGTCAAGGTCAGAGGTTAAATTTTTAAATAAATCCAATTTTAGATGGGTCTGAGCATATATATATATATATAAAACTGGGGTTTAAGTCGGAGCAAACAAGAAGTCACCCATTGAAATACCTAATCATATGTATTGTTGGGATCAATGGAGCCCAAATTCTTCATTTCTCAAAAATATCCATGTCCAACACATATTCTAACATGCGAATGAAGAAATAATTCTCCAAATGTATTGGAAGACTTAGATGAATTCGAGTATAGTCAAGTCGGACACATAATCACATCAAAGACTCACCCCCGAGTCTGGGTAACATAGAGCAGAACAATGAACCATACCTGATTCCATGCAGAATTATTGAAGATATCTTGTTCAAGAAGTTGCTGACAATAATCAAGTTCATCTTCCCAGCCTCCTAATGCCTGAAGCACCCACTACACTCGACAAAATACAATTTAACTTTGATTCAAATATACTACAAAAATAAAGAAATAAAAGAGTTTTGACTATAATAATCAAAAGATCCCTGAACTTTACCATTTTATTTAGATTAGTTCTTATACTTTTGTGCCAAAATAAACCCTTGACTTTTAATTCTAACCTATACAAACCTTAACCTTTATTCCTGGCAGCTAGCTCAAGAAAGTGGCAGTGATTTGAATACAATAAAGTTTAGGAGCTTGTTTAAAAAAAATGAAGTACTTCAAGGGATTTGTTAATGTTTTAGTCAAGAGGTTTCAAAAGATTCTTATGATTATAATCTACAATAGATGTTTAACCAACCTGCCTATGTGACCAGGCATGATAATTTTTCACATCAAGTGACAATATACTCTTAATGAGATGAAGTTCCTTGGCTCTAGCATTAGATCCCAATCTCTCGATAACCCACCGCCGATGGTGCCTACAGAATTTACAAAAAATACCGTGTAATGGATATAAGAAGGAAAATAACAAGATTATAGAATCTGAAATCAATTAAACTGACTTAAGTTATTTTACGTGGACTCGAGTGTAAGTGTTGGACATGGTGGTGTCTCACACAAGTATGTTAAATGTTTTTTCCAAGATTTTCATGTATTTGGAAGTTCCTTAAAAGGATCATATCCCCATACCCTGTCTGTGCATGTATTGAATACATGTCGAGTATTTCAGAAAAAACACAGGACCATGCTTTGAAGTTTATAATCTTTCAACAAATTTAAACAACATTGTGATTGATCAATATTCAATAACCATTTACGTAATAAATTGGGCATACATTTAGCACACATAACAAGCGTTGGCAGAGCTATGAACTGTAAAACTCAGAGCATATCATCTCAAACATTAAAATCATCACTGGCAGCAATAAAATCATAAGACTTGTCACATAAACATGCATGTTTGCGGTGCTACATTTTGTGAAACTCAGAGGTCAGAGCATATAATCTCAAACATTAAAATCATGAGTGGAAGAAATAAATCATAAAAATTCTCAAAATTCATTTGCAATCCAAAATTTATAACGAGTCATAGTTTCACTTATAATATTTGAAGATCAAAAAGATTTCCAAATAATACTTTGGCACTTATGTTTGACATATATCCGGACATAGATCCAAGAGCATGAAGTCCAAATACTCGAGAAATTTTTAAGCATACTCGAGTTTTACTATCAAACATCGACAAATCAATCATTACATCTCCAGTATCAGCAGAGAACTAACCAAAATGAATAGAATCTATGAATTCAAGAAAAACATTTTTCATGTGAATAAACAAACAGGAGGAAATTAAATTGAAAGAGGCAACTCACCATAATTGATAGTTCTTAGAGTTAGAATTAGCAATCCGTTGAATAAAATCCAATTCCTCGTCCAGATCGGTATTAAGTGCCTCGAGCACGAGTCGTCTAAAATGCCAAACCTTCATAAACGAAAAACACAAAGATTTACAGATTTTGAGCGTCGAAAAGGGGCCATCAGAACAACAAATACATATATAAAAAATTACAGTGTAATTGCCGGGATTAAGATGGATGGCTCGTCGAGTGAGGCGGAGAGCACGAGGGGAGCGTTCGTCGGCCTTGTAAATGGCGCGGAAGTAATCCATGGTTTCACAAAATTCTTCCTTGTAAGCTATGGGGACGACTGGGTTGGGACCGTCGTCTTGAGGAAAGAGGCGTCAAATCACGCCACTCCGCCATCCGGCTAAGTGGCACTCCACCGTCCTCTTCACTTGATTCCATTTTTCTCTCTGCGCTACCACCGGATCGAATCACCTTACACTCAAGCTTGGAAGTGCTTACTGCTGTCTGGTTTGAATTTAATTAGGTCAATTTGATTGGTATCATCGGGCTGTAAATGAATCTAACGAACGAACAAGGTTAGGTTTGTTTATTTATTTTTAAACGTGTTCGTATTCAATTTGCATTCTGTTAAATTTTTAATATTGTATTTATGTTCATTTATTTATTTTTAAAGATGTTCATGTTCGTTTATTTATTGTTTACGAACATGTTCATTTAATATTAGTGAACATGTTTGTTTATATGTTCATGAACGTGCTCATGAACATATTTATTTAGCATTTGTTTAATGTTCAGGAACATTTTCGTTTATATATTCACGAATGTGTTTATGAACAAGTTTGTTTAGTGTTCATTTAGTGTTCGTTTAGCATTTTTTTAGTGTTTATTTATCGTTTATTTATATATTCGATTTTTAATTTCAATTGTAAGTGAAAAATGATAAAATTACAACACTAATGCTTAAAATCTTTAAAAGTTATAGTTTAAAATGCAACTTTTATTATGTGTACTATTTAATCCTTATCTTCACCAATATTTAAAGTGTAAAAAAATAAAAGGAAAAAGATAATTGGGTAAACGAGTTTATTCATGAATATAAATGAACGAGTTGATAAACGAGATCATAAATGAGTTTATAAACGAGCTTGTTCGTGAACATAAATGAACTGAACATACCTCTATTCGTATTCGTGAACATAAATGAATGAGTTGATAAACGAACTCATAAATAAGCTTATAAATGGACTCATAAAAGGAAATAGAGAATCGAGTAAACGAGTTTGTTCATGAACATAAATGAACGAGTTGATAAATGAGCTTGTTCATGAACATAAATGAACCTAACACACCTTTGTTCGTGTTCGTTCGTTTATTAAATGAACATAATTTTTTTGTTAATGTTCGTTTATTTTACTTAACAAACGAACATAAACGAACATTATACGAGCAGTTCACTGAAGCTCTGTTCATTTACATCCCTAATCCTCGTTAAATATTTTTGAAATATACTATATCATTGACCACTTAATTATTT